TGCAGAAAGTTGATGTTATTTCTGCCAAATTTCTTGCAGAAAGTCGATGTTATTTCTGTCCAACTTCGTGCAGAAAGTCGAGTATTTCTGTTAAATTTCTCACAGAAAGTCGACTCAGTTTCTGCCAAATTTTTAGCTCTCCCCCACTCCCAAAAACAATCGGGAACCCTGATCGACATTTTTATTTTTGAAATCGAAAATAGTTTAGTGATACTTTTTGATTCTTGTTAGGTACAGCATTAAAAATTCTTTTTGCTGAAAATCCAATACAATTACAACGTTCAGAACTTGTTTCACTTATTAATGGTTTTACTCAATTATCTACGAGTATTTATCGACTTGAACATACATTTAAAACGTGTCTAAAAACGAAGACTGAGCTATGAGGAAAAAAAATTTAACAACAAAAAAATTCGAAAGTACGGTTGAAAATGTAATTTTGGACACACTTGCAATCTTGGTTTTTGAATTTTACAAGGGTGTCATAGGTGCATTTCATCGTTCTTTCTTGTTTTTTTTTGTTATTAATTATTTTTTCATGACTAGAGAATTTGAACTACGATTTATTTTTGCTCGCTTGGCAATGTCCTAGTCCGTTATAAATATTTAAATGTTGGTGATTACTATCAAAATTAAAGAAAAAAAAAAAAGTTAAAAAATTATATAGATATTTTTTTAATAGCAGTCGACGTATTTGATCTTGTTATGTTTTATTTGGTAGATATTCTAAAAATTCTGATGTTTCTTTTCTTTTTTTGTTGTTGTCTTTGTTTTTTTTTCTTTTTTTTGTTGTTGTATTTGTTTTTTTTTTCTTTTTTTTTTTGTTGTTTTTTGTTATGTAGGACTAAATTTGAATGATATAACGATTTTTTTTCTTTAGCGCTCAAATATGAATAATCAACATGATTTATATGTCTATTTTCAGATGGCTACTAGTGTTAGTCCTGCATCATCGCCGTCAAGCACTCCAACGAATTCGAGTAATCTTTCAAGTTTTATACCATGTCCACATACATTTGTTGCTACAAGAGTTAAACAAAATCATACATACGATGGTACCTTTTCGGACACTCATCAACGACCAATTGTTCCGCGTGTATGTCGTCTACGAACAAATAATAATACCATGGCTATCTATGCACTTGTTGATCCAATGGATACAAATATGATTGCATCTGATGTTTGTGTTAATATGCTTGTTGAACAATTAAGTCAAATATCATTCGAAGATGAATCATATAAAAAGAAAATTAGTGATAGTATGCAACAAATTTTTTATGAAACAGAAAATCGTCTATTACAAATGACATTTGACCATGCAGAAGAAAAAGCAACATTAACACCAACAATTGATGCTACTGCTGAAAAATGTTTACCTTCATTAGATGAAGCTCAATCTGGTGCTTTTTTATTTGCTGCTACTGTTACACAATCAAATGTTTACGTTGCATATGTTGGTTAGTAAAATTAATAGAAAATTTTTTTCTGTTTTTTTTTGTCTTTAATGTATAATTATTTTTATATCATAGGAACTATTCGAGCTTTTCTTATAACGAATAATAATGGTGAGTTACGTATATCTAATAATCGACCACAATATTACCATAATGGTTCATTACATACAATTGATAATGAGGATGAAAGTCTTCGATTAAGAAATCTTAATGTTAATCTTACACAAGTAAGAAATGAAGGTTTAGATAATAATCATTCGAAATTTACTCGATGCATTGGGTAAGAACTTGGTCTTTGGTTTCTTTTATGTCTCTAATATTTGTATTTATATTTATTATTTTATAGAAAATTATCTGAAAAATTACTTTCATCAGCAGCATCAGCTAATGATGTTAATGAAGCACGATGTAATGCACTTGTATGTGAACCAAGATTGGAAAAATTTCGAATCAGTCCTCAAGATTATGCACTTGTTATGATGACTGATAAACTCTATGAAATGTATTTAAAAACAGGTATTTATTTATTTATTCATATAAATAAAAAAAATTTCAAATTTAATTTTCTTTAAGGTATTTCTGAAGAAGAAATTCCAACTGATTTTATTGCTCTTCTTTATGAATCTATAAAGACAGTCAATCCAGCACAACGTATTCTTACTACAATTGAAGAGCGATTACAAAAAATGAATGATTGTATTAACGAAGACATTGCTCTTCAAGATATGGGTTTACTTATTCATTTTTTTCATCAACCAAAAAATATAAATCAAAATCCTCAATTATCAATTAAACCAAATACAATACGACGAATTGTTGATGGTGAAGTAACTGTTGATGAAGTCAAAAATTTTATTATCAAACATAATGAAATACAACAAAAACGAGAAAAAAATCGTAATGCATCAAGAACGACTGGACATAAACGTGAAAATCAAACACATTCCAGTACAATTGAACCATTTGTTCGATTTGATGTTTATGAAAAATTATTAAATGATAATGAAGAATTACGTCAAGCAGACAAATTTATTACTGATCTTCTTTATACTCAATCGACATCTGCTATGGATGAGAAATTAACAGAATTTTTAAAAGAACATCCAACTTTAAAATGTGATTGAATATTTTTTTTTTTTGTTTAATATTTGAAAACATCTTGTTTTTATTTTCGATGTAAATTAATAGTTTTTGTTTGATTTTTTTTTCTTTTCAATATTTTATTTCAGATGTATTCTACATCTCATAATTGATAATGCGTGTTCAAGTTTTAACAGAAAATATCTGGTCAATTACATTATTTTGTTCATTTGTAACAGGATTTATTATTATTGCTTCTTGTGTAACAAAACGTCGTCGTCGTTATTTTCGTCATCATCGTCTTGTTGATGACGTACATCATTTATGGCCATTTGATGAATATCTTATACAACCAACTTTATGTAATGTTTGTTCATCAACTTTATTAACTGGTTTTCAGTGTTCATCATGTGGAATTTATTTACATGAACGTTGTATACGTCCTGCTCGACGTCTTTTTCATTGTAAACATATGACAAGCGAACAAGAACAAATACAACATCAATGGACTCGTGGTAATTTACCATTAGATTCGGAATGTATTATTTGTCGACGATCATGTGGAGCTGAACCAAGATTATGTGATTATCGATGTATATGGTGTCAACGTATTGTACATGATTCATGCATGAGAGCATTACCTATTGAATGTGATTTTGGTGAATATCGACGTTTAATTATACCTGTAAGTATTTTATGTCATAATATTTTGAATATATGATCTTTCTATTATTATTTATTAGCCTAATGCTGTTGTTTCACGTACGGGAAATAAAAAACTTGTTGGATATGCTCATTCAGTAGTCGAACGTATTTTACCATGTGGTATTGATGATTGGTGTCCATTACTTGTTATTGGTAATCGAAAATCAGGTGGAGCTAATACAGATCTTGTTCTAAATTCATTTCGAACTTATTTAAATTCTGTACAAGTAAAAATATATTTTTATTATTTATATTTTGATTATTTTATGTAATATTTTAGGTTATTGATATTTCAACAATTTCACCATCTTCAATTCTTGAATGGTGTAATTCACTTCCAGATATTGGATTTTATATTCTTGTATGTGGTGGTGATGGAACAGTTAATTGGATTTTAGAAAGTATTGAAAATACAACATCAGGTGTAAGTATATGTACTTGAATTCACATAAGAAAACTATTATTATTATTATTTATTTTTTTTTTTATTAGATAAAACCTGCTGTTGGTATTCTTCCAATGGGTACAGGTAATGATTTAGCTCGTATTTTACAATGGGGTTATGGAGAAGATTCTGCTGTTGATGTTAGTACTTATTTAAAAAAATTAATGACTGCTAAAGTTGTGGCTCTTGATCGGTAAGATCTTTTTTTTTCTCATACTAATAATTCATAAAAATAATTTTCTTTTTTCGTTGATAAGATGGTCAGTAGATATTTGTGCTAATGCTCGACATTTTGGTGTAGCAACAGCTAGTGCACGTGTATGTCTTTTATTATTATTATTATTATTATTAAATAGTTTTATTATCGAGTTTTTATTTTTTTTATAGCATATGCGTATGTCAAATTATTTTTCAGTTGGTTGTGATGCATTGGTTACACTCAATTTCCATCGTCGTCGCGATAAAATACCAGAATTTTTTGCTAGTCGTTTTGTTAATAAACTACATTATTTTCATTATGGAACAGTCGACACTTTTTTGAGTATGTTTGTTTGTTTGTTTTCGTATATATAAAGTTTACGAATATAATTGTTTTTTTATTATAGAGGAATGCAAAGATCTGCAAAATAATGTTATTGTATGTAGTTCTATAATATTTCGATGATAATTTGATTAATGATTATATTAAATATTTCTAGCTTGAAATGGATGGACGGATTGTTGAAAATCTTCCCGCATTAGAAGGTATTTGTATATTAAACATTCCATCATGGGGTGCAGGTGTTCGTGTTTGGGGAGCAGGTGAAAATATTCCTGTTCAACAGTAAATTAATATAATAATGTTCATTTGATAATTGTTTATTATTGAGTTTTTCTTTTTTTTTTTAGAATTGATGATGGTTTTGTTGAAGTTTTTGGAATTTATAGTTCATTTCATATAGCACAAATGCAAGTTGGTCTTGCTGATCCATTCCGCATAGGACAAGCTCGTCGAGTTAAAGTAAATTTATATTATATTTTCTAATATATATGGGATTGGCCAATCTGACCGGATACCCCAAATTTGCTTTCATTCTATTATCAGTTAATAGCCTAATCATATTCGAGTCAAATTAATGCTCTCATCACTAATCTGCTAAATTTAAAATATTAGTTGTTGATAGCTGTCTTATAACGAAATTATTCAATCCCTTAAAGACGATAGGAGATAGTTTCAGGGACAGAATAATTTCGTTATAAGACAACCATCAACAACTAATATTTTAAATTCAGTAGTTTAGCGATAAGAGCGATAATTTGACCCGAATATGGTTAGGTTATTAACTGATAATAAAACGAAAGCAAATTGGTAGTATCCGGTCAAACTGGCTAACCGTATATATATTATTAATTTTTAAATCTTTTATTTAGTTAACACTTAAACGTCGTTTTCCTTGTCAATGTGATGGAGAACCATTTGAAGAAGGTCCATGCGTTGTAGATATTGAACATTTTTCCCAAGCGAGAATGTTAATGAATATTGATATCAAATGATTTATCTTTTCGACCATCTGTTCCGGTGAAAAAAAAAACTTTTGTTTCTATTGTTATATAACAACGTACTTAACAGAATGAAAATTGTTTACAAAAAAAAAAATATTCTGATTTTTCTCTACTCTTATTATTTTATCAGATAGTGTGTGTGTGTGCATCTGTTGTGTATTTGTATTTAGACAATAACCAAGATATTTTATCTTCATGGACATTTGTGTGTTTTTCTTCTGCGTATTTGACATTTTCGTTGTTTTTTTTCCTTCTATGTTAAAATAATAATGTCAGTAATTTTTTTTTGATATGGTATAGAACAAAGAAAAGAACGGCGTGCGAAGATTTTTCTTCTATGTACTTGAAGGCAAAGAGACAATGCTTAGCAAGAATAATAGTACAGAATGAATGAATACAATGCACTAAAAGAGAGAAAGGGTAATTTTGAGACTATTATGTAGATAATATTTACTTTTGCTATATGCCACATTAAAATAAAAGCATTACATAGATTTTCATTTTCGAAAAAGAAAAAAAAAACTTTTAAATTATCGTTTGTTTGTATTTTCAATCAAGCAAAAGACAATGAATGAAACAGACATTAAACCACCGAAATCAGGTAGATAATAATTATGAATATTTTTATTTTGAATGATAGCTCTGGTTTTCTTTTTGTTCGAAATATTTCCAGTCTCTTTTTGGTTTTCAATTCGTGTTGCAGTGGCTTTTGTTGGATTTCTTGGTATGGTTGCACATTATTCACAAAAGATTAGTATTGGTATTGCTCTTGTTTGTATGGTTAATCATTCAGCGATTGAACAACCGAAAACTTCTATTGCTATGCCTCTTACACAGGCTGATATTGATTGTCCTCGTCTGGATAATACTGCTCCAATTGTAAATCGTAGAAAAAAAAAAGAATTTTTATTATGTTCTTTTCTAATATGTTTATAGGAAGGTCCTTATCCTTGGACAAAAAATATTCAAGGTATTGTCTTAGGTGGATATTTTTGGGGATATTTAATTACTGAAATACCTGGTGGATATTGGGCTGCTCGATATGGTGCTCGACTTATATTTGGCGGAGCTATGATTCTAGCTGGTATTTTTTCAATAGCTATTCCTTGGGGTGCTAGTTTACATTGGGGTGTAGTATGGTTTTTACGATTAGTTGTTGGATTTGCACATGGTATTATATGGCCTTGTATGGCTGCTATTATGTCACGTTGGGCACCACCTAATGAAAGAGGAAAACTTATTGGTTTTATGAATGCTGGTAAATTACATTCGTTCTTATTTTGTTTGTTATTTTTTATTTTATGTTTAGGTGCTCAAATTGGTAATGTTATAACATTATCTATTGGTGGTCTTATGTGTTCATGGAGTTTTGTTGGTGGTTGGCCATTAATTTTTTATTCTACAGGTATATTGGGTCTTATTTGGGGTATTTTTTGGATTTTCTTCTATACGGATTCACCAAGTGATCAACGTTGTATTAGTAATCAAGAAAAAAATTATATATTAGATTCTACACAAGAACAATCATCACATCATGATCAAAATGAATTTCAAGCTCCATGGAAACAAATTTTAACATCGCCTGTTTGTTGGGCACTTTTTATTATACATACATGTAATAATTGGGGTACATACACATTTCTTACATCGATTCCAAAATATATGTCTGAAGTATTAAAATTTGATATTAAATCGGTATGTAAATAAATGAATATAACGCATAGGGCAAAAGTTCTGCATTAATTTTGTTTTTGATATAGAGTACCGTAATAGAATGTCGTAGAGATTTCATCTTTTTCTTTTCTGTTAAAAAGAGCAACGTGTCTAGTGCAAAAATGTTCAAAAGAATTTGATTGAAAATGTGTTTTTTTAGAGGTCACAGAAACTTTAGAACGAAAAGCATCGAAAAAAGATTCCGTAACTTTGGTGAGAATTTTTTTATCCGAAAAAATTTTTTTTTCAACTTTTTCTTTATCACTATACAGTGTTTTCAAGAATCGTATATATACAGTTGTTTATTACAAAGAATGTTTTCATGTACTATTAAAATAATTCATTCAACATATAAGAAAACAAACAGAGGAATATTTCATTAAAAAAAGACAATCAATTTAGCGAATTTGTAGTTTACAACGTGAAAACAAATATTTAGCTGGATATCTCACACAAAAAAATCTGTGTCCTGTTTCAAATATTATCGTGAGATAGAGGTCCCATTAAGCTTTGTTTTCCATATAAAATATATAGTTTCTAACAATCGATTTGTCGGAATAGAATTTATTTTTTCGACTGTGATCAAGGGTGGCACTTTCCTTTCGGAAAGAAAAGAAAAACTATAAGATAGGATGAAGGATAAGTTTTAAAAGTTTTCATATATATATATGATCTGTTTAACAAGTGAGGTTCTTAGGAGACATATCCTTGACATTTTCACATTATTTCCTTATTGTTTCTCGATTTTCTCTCTCGTTCGTCGCATTTCTTACTTTCTAGACTATCGTTGACATTCTGTTATTCTATTCATCTGATCTGATATCCTGTCCTATATTTCTAGAACTGTCTCTCTGCCTACTTCATGATCCTCAAATGAATTCCTATTGATATGTAAGTTAGAGAAAAATCAGTCGTATCTTAGATTCATGATGAGAATATATTCTCGATAATATTACGTACATCTCACTGTCACCAACAAATACTTTTCAAGATAACTATCAATTTCTTTTCGTTCATAGTCGATATACCGTAGAGGAAATCACAATTGATGACTTTCCATGGAGCTTTGGTCTCAAATGTTGATTTTTGCTTGTTCATGTACCTTTTTAGTAAGTAGAAAAGCGAATCGACGATGAAAATAAACTCCACAGCATTATTTAATGAATATCAAGAGTTCAATATTTTATCATTTTACGCTCTTTCTCAAATCTTAACCCAAAAAGAAGAATAGATACTTGAATTTTAAATGCAATTAATGTCCTTTTCAAGATAGAATGTGTGCCTGAAGAAGTTGAGTAGCTTCAGAGAGTAAACAGCTAAGGATCTGTGATTTTCATCACTCGGAACGTGGGCACTGGGCAATGCCGATCTATACCAAAGTCAAAAATTTGAGAGATAATTCTATGGGATTTCTATGAAGATCTGTGATGAACCACTTCCCCATCAGGAAGGTTTATTACATTTTCGCTCCAACTTTATTTATCTTATAAGGCCATGACAGCAGTAGATTATTTTGCTTTTCTATTTGCGTAGTGAATCTCAGGCCTTGAAGCCACTGAAAACCTCATGCATTTTCTAACTTCAATCAACTTGGATTTTTAGAAAAACTTAGGTTTTCGTTCATGCTGAGTCTCGTATCTGCTTTTCAATGTGATGATTATGAGTCATCAAGTTCACAACTAAGTGAGCTTGAGTCTACAAGATATTAGAAACCCAAACCTACGTATGGAAAAAATAACTTTATTTTTTATATGTTCTAAGAACACCTATTGATCTTTAAGTGTCAGGTGGGAAATTTTTGACTTATGATTTGCACATTGAAAGAGTTAAACTGAAGATATAATAAAGCTTCTTGATCGTGAAGATGGTTTGCCGAACATCCTAGCAGAAATTCCTTAGGATTACCTGTCAAATTTTTGAATTTGGCATAGATTGTCATCCAGTGCCCACCTTTGTGTAGTGAAAGTCACAGACGGTTAGCTGTTTGCGTTCTTGAACTGTTCAATTTCTTCGCACATATTCTATTTTAAAAACGACATTACAAACTCGTACATATGTCACAGTTTTCTAGCTGTATACATTTGTTTTCTGGACGATTGGAGAAACACGATAGTCAGACTGATTGTATACTATATACCTTATGTATGATCACATTAAATTTTGTTTAAACTTTTTAAAAATTGCTTAATTAGCTGAAAATTTAATGAAACTGATAGGAAACAATTGATAGAAAAGAAAAGAAAAATTTTCACTCTAATTCATCTCTTTTGTTGACAAACATCAAAATCTTGTTTGAGATCTGAACTAAAGCAATGCGTAGTATTTTTTTTTCTTGCCATCAGAAAGAATGAGAAACCCTTTGAAGTTAATCGTGATGCAATGAAACACCGTGCACAGGTGGAAAAGATTAGTGAAATCCTGAAAAAAAAAACAAGGTTAGAACACCAATAGTAAGAATATGACTTCAAGGTGAAGGGAAGGGGGAACAACAAGGAAACCAAGGCCCATTAGAGTTGCTCATATTAAAATGATTGCATATTCTCCCTGTTATCAACAATACGTATACTGTAAATTTCTAACAATATGAAAGATTTCAATGTTTCTTTCCTAGAAAAAGGAAAGCAAAAACTTTCCTTTCCTTTCCTTTCTGAAAGCAAAAGAAAAGTGAAAGTATCAACCCTACTAGACACTTTGCTCTTTCTAACAAAAAAAAAAAAGACAAAATCTCTACGACATTCTATTACAGTATTCTATATCAAAAACAAAATTAATGCAGAGCTTTTGTTCCACCCGTTAATTGAAATAAAATGATATCACTTTTTTTTTTTGATTCATATAGAATGGAGTCCTTTCATCGCTACCATATCTTATGTTCTGGCTTAATATAAATATATCTGGTGCAGTAGCTGATAGACTCATTCAAAAAGAGACTTTAACAACAACGCAAACAAGAAAATTATTTAATGTATTAGGAAATTTACTTCCAGCAATATTCGTCATTGGATTAGCATTTATGACATGTAAAATTAAATATGTTGCTGTAGTTTTATTAACAATTGGTGTTACTTTTACGTAAATATATTCTATTGAATTATTTTTCTATTTTCTTTTTTTCTTTTTCATTGAATATAGTGGATGTTGTTATGGTGGTGGATTTTTGCTTACAGCAAATGATATTGCTCCACCTTATGCAGGAATTATCTTTGGTATTTCAAATACATTTGCTACATTACCAGGTATTATAAGTCCATATGTTGTTGGTGCTCTTACAGGAAAAGTTAGTATTTAATATTTGTTATTTATATATATATATAAGTATTCTATTAATATATCTCTGCATAGGATCCAAACAATTGGCGTTATGTCTTTTTCATTTGTGCAGCTATCTATATTATTGGTATGGTTGTATTCTTATTCATTGGATCAGGTGAAGTACAACCATGGGCACAAAAACGTCCTACTAAACCAGAAGAAATACCTCTATCGGGTATTGTTTATTTTTTAAAGTTATTCATATTTAATACATATTTTCTTTTAGAACCCACTGGTATCTTAATAACAAAAGAGTGAAATGAACAATAGTTTTGTTTTTTATTTCTTTTTTTTTTGTGTTAGTTCAACTGATAGTACTTTTTTTCTTTTTTGATCAATGCATGTGTTGTGAACATTGAAATTTTAGATGTAGTAATGCTTTTTTTGTCCAAAATTTTATAATATTATCATTGAATTCATGTCGTTTTTGTTTTTTACTTTTTAAATGAAACGTATCTATGAACTTCGATTTCTGAGATATCGATTGAAATATTTTATCTTTTATTCTCATTTTGTTCGATATAATTTCATGATTACTAGCTGTTGGACTTGGTTGAAGAATAAATGATGAATTAACACTAGAAATAATGTCATTTTTTGAACATTGTATTTCACTAGCCATTGGTAATACTGCACGACAAGTATAAGTGGATGGAACTTGTAAATCAAATTGAATATTCGATGAATATGATGATATTGATTCATGATTACGTAATTGTTCAAGTTCTAGATGCCAAAGTTCTTCAACAGATATTTTAAGCATATATAATGCAAGTTGAAATTCTTTATAATGTTTAGATATTTTATTCAATGACTGAACTGATGATTGTTGTCTAAGAGGTAATTTAAGATCTGATGGAGAAATCTGATTGTTTGGTAGTATTGTCTCATTTATTTGATTAGAGAATAGACTCGGATGTATATTGATCGTATTCTTTTTTATGTTCATGTGAATATTAATAATAAAAAGTTTTTAAAAAAAGGGGACACAACTCGTTTATTGAGTAGAAAGAAAATTAAATTATGCGCAAAAAAAACTCGATTTTTGCTGTTTCAAATGATATAGTAATCTATCATAAATTGTAATTTCGTTTTTGATTAAGAATAAATTATCAATATATTTATTAGATTGATTCTTTGTCATATTATGTTCTATGAATTGTTTCTTTCATGAATTTGAAGAACTATAGAGTGCCATCTATCTTTTAAACACATTAAAAATTATAATATTAGTATGATTTTTTTAAAGCAAATAAAAACTTACTAAGAAATAATTGTTTTTTTTGTTAAATAATCTTTATTGAAAAGTGTTATGTACAAGTAAGGAGGACGCTTCCTAATAGTAGTTATCTCGAAGATGAGTCATACATGTTCGATATTCATTAACAATCCAATGTGCTATCTATCGTATCGTTGTTTGTATGTATGTAGATCAAATGTTGTATTGAAGTCAAGGTTCTTGAAAATGAATTTATTTTATGAAACATTTATCGAGAACAACAATATAATTTCTATGATAATAAATAATTTGTTATTATTATTTCAGTTCTAGAATTCATGACATTTTCCAACATATCGATCATTTGAGAAGAATCTAGAATTGTTCTGAATAGATGGCGTTATAAACATTTCATTTACATTCATTTTTTAGATTTATTGGAGCATACACATACACAAATGTCTAAATCGATTCCAGCCGATCATGTACGTCTTCTTCGACAATTTATTACATTATGTGATGCTCAACCTGAAATGCTTCTAGCACCTGAACTTGAATTCTTTCGACAATGGCTTGCTAAGTAATTGTTATTTTTTGATTCTTCAATATAGAATTTTATATTTTAAATAATTAATATATATATATATATATAGATTAGGAGCAATAATTCCAAATGATTCATGTCATCAACATGATCATACTTCAGAATCGAAAACCGAAGAAAAGGAAACAACTCATGCTGATCATGAAAGTACTTCATCATCAAAAAGTCATGAAGAACCACCAAAAGTTGAAAGTGAACCAGAAAGTGAATTGGGTAAATTCATATTTTCTATTTTTTTTTTTTTTTTTGTTTACTTATATTTATTTATATAGAATTGGATACAACTGGTGTAATTGAAGGCGATCATGATGCGCCACAATCAATGGGTGATCCTAATATTGAAGTATAATATTCATTATAAATCATTTGAAATATTTATCATTATCTATTTTAAATAGGTAACAGATGCCATGTTAGAACAAGCTGATGTCAAACGTGGTGAAGCACAAGCAAAACTTTCTGAAGGTGCAATTGAAGAAGCAATTTCTTTATTTACACAAGCTATTGAAAATAATCCACAATCGGCTATTCTTCATGCTAAACGTGCACAATGTTATATTAAACTTCAAAAGCCGAATGCAGCTATACGTGATTGTGATCGTGCTTTAGAACTTAATGAAAATTCACAGCAAGCACTAAAATGGAGAGGAAAAGCTAATCGGTAGGCACAAAAAAATAAAAACATGAAAGGTTTTTTTATGTAAAATTTTTGTTGTTCAGTATGTTGGGTAATTGGGAAGCAGCTTACAAAGATTTTTGTAAAGCACAATTGTCTGATTTTGATGAGGATGTTCAAACATGGTGCAAAGAAGTTGAAGCAAATGTACATTTTTTTTTCTTTTCTTCTTGATCTATTGTCATTTTTTTTTAATCCACCTAGGCTAAAAAACTTGTTGAACATAAACGTAAATATGAACGACGTCGAGAAACAAAAGAAGCTGATGCTAAACGAGAACGTATTCGTAAAGCTCAAGAAGCTTATGCTAAAGCACAACAAGAAGAAAATGAACGACGAGCACGAGAACAACAAGCACGCTCTGCAGGTGGTCAACAATTTCCAGGATTCCCAGGTGCTTTAGGAAATTATTAATTATGTTAGATAGTTTAGAGATATTTTTATATAGGAGGAATGGGAGGCATGGGTGGAATGCCAGGGATGGGAGGAATGCCAGGGATGGGAGGAATGCCAGGGATGGGAGGAATGCCAGGCATGGGTGGAATGCCAGGCATGGGTGGAATGGGTGGTGGAGCTGATTTAGGAGGTTTAGGAGCTGTTATGAATGATCCAGAAATATTGGAAGCATTACAAGATCCCGAAGTACAACAGGCCTTCTCGGTAAGTTGTATGTACTTGTCTTTTGTTTTTGTTTTGTTATTACATTAATTAATTTACTATGATCTATATTTGTAGAAAAAAATGCATACAAGAATACTTAGTATCAATAGATGTTCATTTCTATTATCATTCTCGAAGTGTAAAATTCCAAATAAGAGATAGTTTTTGAGTCGTGAAATTTGAATATGTTTTGTATTGATTTAATTGCATATATTAGCAAATCAGTTTATTAAAGATAATGTTTATTTTAGGAAGTTAGTGCCGATCCTTCAAAATTAGCTGCACATCAGAGCAACCCCAAGGTACGTAAAGTCATGGAAAAACTGGCTAGTAAGTTTGGCGGCGCTGGCGGGCCGATGGGTGGTGGTTTTCCTAATTTTCCAGGTTTGTTCTTTTTTTTTTTGTTTTTGTTCTATACTTTACATTATTTTATGATTATAGGCGGAATGGGTGGCGGAGCCGATGCCGATGCCAATGATCTCGATTGATTTGCTTCATTGTCCAACGTCATTTGAAGAACGTGTTGTTTTCTTTTCGTTTTTTTTTTATCTCTTTCTTTTTTTTTTTTGGTCGATCAACTTTGAAGATAGTCTTGCTTGAGTCATTATCGCAGCACTTTCTTTTCTTTTCTGCGTTTTTTTTTTAAATAGAATCAAAATACATGAGTTTACAAAAGTTGATTTCAAATAAAACTTATGATCAGACATACGCGCACACAAAGAAACCAATTTTTAAAATTTTCACATAGATTATATCAAGATCACGTTCGATCTAGAGGGAATATTCATTAATGAAATCAATTTAATTAAGTTATGTATTATATCTATTGAAGTTTTTTAACAACATATATATTTGTAAAGCACTTCAAAGAAAATAATTTTTAGATGTTCGCTATACACTTATTCAAGACAGATGAAACCTTGTAGTTGACATCATCATCATCACTTGTGATTTACAGAAACAAATCAATCTTTTAATTGAAAATATTTTCTGATTGCTAACTAATTAGTGAATTATTTGGTGAAACTTAGCATTTGTTCTAAATATATATAACTATATCATTTTATTTTATTGAATAGAAATTTTTATGTGACTATCAAGGAGTTCAAAATCAGTTTTTTTTCACATATGAATTTTTTTGGGCTTTTCTTTACATCGATATTTTTCGAATTATCTTCATTATTTTATGTAGATGTATTTGTTTGATTCGCTTTCTTATGTATATACACAAAAAATAAATAAATAAAAATGATTCTTCTTCTATTTAGATTTGAGAAAGAGAAGTTTTCTTTTAAAAGTCATATGACTTTTCGTACTATGAAGTTACTGGCCCAGTAATGAATTATATTAAGTAGTGGTTGCAGAGAAGAAAAAAAAGAAGAGAAATTTTAACTTCTTTCTCAACAAAACTGAATACTTTTCGAATGTAAAAACTTTTTTGATGTTCCTAGAAAGATAATTGATACTAACAATAATAATCAAGCATTTTGTATAATGTATTGCACATAAAAAAAAAGAAAAAATGCGCGAAATTATTCTTGATTTCAGTGTGTGTATGTGTGTGTGGGTGTATTTTCTATTTATTTTATTGCATTAATGTCGACAACTGATCTAATTGATACAGTTGAACTTTCGGAAAATGTATCAATCGATAATGAACAGGATCAATCTATGGATCATAATGAAGAAGAACAGACACAACAAGAACAATATCAATTTGATGTGATTGTTATTGGTTCAGGACCAGGAGGTGGGTACGTGCAATAATAAATAAATTCATTCTTTTTATTACTATGAAATAATGTTCATCTATTATTTGTATCAGGTTATACGAGTGCTATTCGATGTGCACAACTTGGTAAATCAGTAGCAATAATTGAACGTGATCTTCTAGGTGGTCATGCTGTAAATTGGGGTTGTATTCCACTTAATGCAATGATAGCGTCTGCTCGTTTTATTCGTTTAATTCATGAATCAGTTCGATATGGTATTAATATATCATCACATCGTATTGATTATTTACGTATTGCTCGTCATCGTGATGAAGTAGTTAAGAAAGCTCGTTCTCAAATTAAAAAATTCTTAGAAAAGTAATCCTTTTGTTTTGTTCATCATTTCTAGAATATCATTATTTAATAAATATTTATTCTCATTTAAATTAAGATATCATATTCAAGTATATACTGGTGTTGCTAATATTATTGATAAAAATCATATAATAATAAAACCAATTCAAAAGTATACTTATATTAATGTATATGATGCTGATGGTCGAAATCCTTATGAAACGGATGATTATATACCAATTAGAGCTGATATTGAAATTAGTGGCAAAAATATTATTGTAAATTTAAAAAACAAAAATAATTTCATATTTTTGAATTTTTCTTTCTCAGATTGCATCAGGTATTGAATATAACTTTCCTAATTTTGTTGAAACAAATGATACAAAAACAATAGATCCTACTCAACTTCTTTGGCATAAAAATATACCTGATTCATTGATTATTATCGGCGGAGTATTTGCTTTCGACAAAAAAAAAAAAATTAAAATAATACTTTTTTTTTTTGACAGGGTGTATTAGGTTGTGAATTTGCTTCTCTCTATCGTCATCTACGTTCAAATATTATTTTAATAGAAAAAAATTCAAGATTACTTAAATTTATGGATGAACAAGTATCATTTGCAGTTGAAACACGTCTTAAAGATATCGGTGTTGAAATTATTCTAAATGCTTACGTTGAACGAGTATCAAAAGGTGAAGTCATCATACAATTACAACAAACAAATACGAAACGTACTCTCCTTAGTAGTCTTGTTGTTATATGTACTGGTCGAAAATCAACATTTGATTATGAAAATTTACAAAATCTTGGTATTAATATTGATCAAGAACATTCAACTATTATTATTAATGAAAATACTTGTCAAACATCAATACCAACTATTTATGCATGCGGTGGAGTAGTATCATCTTGTTGGTCTTGGGTATGTGAGAGAAAGAAAAGAGCAAGATATGATTCTTTTTTTTTTCAAAACAAAAAATAGATTCCTTGTGTTATACACCAAGGATATTTAGCAGCAAATAGAATATCCGAATATGAAGATAATAGTAAATCTTATATTCCGATTAATCTAGTTACACCTTTTGTTATTAATGTCATTCCGGCAGTTGCTAGTGTTGGTGAAGTACCAAAATTAACTGATGATGTACTTATTTATACATTTAAATTTCAATCGAATCAAAGAGCAATTATTGATAATCAAACATGGGGTTTTATTAAAATGTGGACAACACGTGAAGAACCAAAGAAATTTCTAGCTGTTCAACTTGTACATGAAGCAGCAGCAGAAATTATTGAATATTATAGTATGATTATTTCATTGAGTAAGTAATTAATAAATAATTTATCATAATAAAATCTATATTTAGATATTCCTCTACGTGAAATATGTCTTCTTCCATTTGCTCATCCAACTTATACGGAAAGTGTAAAAGAAGCATGTGAATATGTACTTGGTCAATCAATGAATTACGAAGGCACTTATTTGAATTAATTACAAAATAAATATTTAATTATCTTTTTGTAATTTTATTAGATTTTTTTGTTTCGATGAATAAAAAAAAACAGATTAATGAAAACACAATGTTTTCCTACATGAAAGAAATAAGACAACAAAAGTGTTTTGTATATATATATGTGTGTGTGTGTATATAGGTAAATGAGAGAACATGAATTATAAAAACGAAAAAATCGAGAAGAAAATAGAGAAACATTTGAATAACAACATGAATAAAAATATCCGTATATATACACACACACACACATACATATCAATAATTCATTTTTGATATCTACTACATGAAATAAAGACCTTCGTTTTCATTTTACGAAAAAAGGCATAACAATACATATATATATGTATAGAAAGATGAAATAACAAGAAAAAAATATCATTAATTGAAGTATTTCAGTCTCTCAAAAATATATGTATCCTTATTAAATCTAAATTAAGAAGATTAATAAACAAGAAAAAAAAACAAAAGAGAAGACAACAATATTCGATATAAGTTTATTTATTATCATCCGATTATATAGAAGATGGTAAAAAACACAAAACTTGATGATAATGTTATATCGATGAAAGAATAAGAACAAATGTCTTTTCTATTAAATCAAATCGGCAATAGTCATTGGCATTTCTTGTATTTGTGTATTATAAAATTGTTCAATGTCACGTAATGTTCGTCGATCATCATCAATAACAAAATTAATTGCTACACCTTTTCGACCGAATCGACCACCACGACCAATACTATGACAAAAAAAAAAATTTTTTTTTCTCATATATTTCTTATTCAATCTTACCGATGAATATAATTCTCACGATTATTTGGTAAATCATAATTAATAACAAGACTAACTTGTTGTACATCAATACCACGTGCAAGTAAATCTGTTGTAATTAATACACGACTAGAACCTGTACGAAATTCTTTCATAATTATATCACGTTCTTTTTGATCCATATCACCATGCTAAAATTAAATTTTTTTTTTTTTTGGAAAAAAAATAGAATGATTTTAATTGATAATATTAGCGCTATATATATATATATATGTTAAGTGAAAATTAAAATCTTGTTTTTTTTTATTTACCATAGCAGATACAGTAAAATCACGTCCACGCATTTTTTCAGTTAACCAATCAACTTTTCGACGTGTATTACAAAAAATAACAGCTTGTGTTATTGTTAATGTTTCATATAAATCACAAAGTGTATCCAATTTCCATTCCTATTTTGATTATAATTAATAGAAAATATTTAGTTAAAAAAAAACCAAATTTTTTTATTTTATTCTTACTTCACGTTCGACAGTAACATAAAATTGAAGAATACCTTCAAGAGTTAATTCTTCTTTTTTAACAAGAATTTTCACTGGATTATTCATAAATTTTGATGTTACTTCAAGTACATCATTGGGCATTGTAGCTGATAGTAAAATAACTTGAACATTTTGTGGCATTGTTGTAAATACATCATAGATTTGTTCTTTAAAACCACGTGATAACATTTCATCAGCTTCATCTAATACGAACATTTTTATACTTTTACTATCTATATATAATACAAAAAAATAAATAATTAAGAAGACTATTACGAAAAAAAGAAAAACATGACATACGAAGTGCTGATCGATTAAGCATATCATAGACACGACCGGGTGTACCAACAACAATTTGAACACCGGCTTCGAGTCGTTTTATATCATCACGAACATTTGTACCACCAATACAACCATGACATGAAACTCCCATATAATCACCCAGTGCCAATACTACCTTTTGAATCTAAAAATAATAAATAGAAAACATACAAATTAATAAATAGAATTCTTTTGTTTTTCTTCTAATATAAAAACTTTACTTGTTGGGCCAATTCTCGAGTTGGTGCCAATATTAATGCTTGACAATCCTTAAATTCCATATCAAGTTGTTGTAAAATTGCAATAACAAATGTAGCTGTTTTGCCTGTGCCTGATTGTGCTTGTGCAATTACATCGTGACCTAAAAATAACACATAGGAACAAATTTCATTTAATAAAATGAATAAAACGAACCCAAAATACATGGTTTAATAGCACGTTGTTGAATAGCTGAAGGCCGTTCAAAACCGTAACCATAGATACCACGTAAAAGTGGTTCACGTAAATTCATTTGATCGAATTGTTCGACCACTTCAGTCCAATTACTCTCGATGGTTCCATCTAGATATACATTATTTATTTGATTAAGTTTTTTTTTCTTAATATTTATTATTTACCAGGTTCCATAGACGGAACTGCAGTGTTCGATTGTTGATGAGTATCATTCCTAGAATAGAAATTAATGTTGTTTCAATATAGAGTACATAATAAAATTCATAGTTGAAATTCTAAATTTTTTTTTTAAAGGAAACTTTTCGTACTTTTCCCTAGACATTTTGTTTGATTGGTGACATAATCTATTTTAGAAGGGATAAAATAAAAGATAAGTTATATTTGTTTTCTTTTTTTTTTTCACAAAACATGACAAAGCACAGATACACACACACACGTTTCGAGAGTCAGACAAGCATTTAATCAAAATGGCGGATGGATTATACAAAATATTCTATTGTGTTTGTGTCGAAAAGCTAGTTTACACATCAGTAGAGAGGTCAAATTTTCAATGTAGGATTTTTTTTTCCCTATTTCAAAAAAAAAACGAATATGTTCTAGTCGTTTTTTTTTCTGAAATACTTACTCCAATGGAGATTTAGTTTTATAACCGCTTGCTTTTGATTTCGTTTGATTGTCGCTCATAGATGAAGAAAAATAAAATAGTAATGCATTTCAAATGAAGAAGATCTGAAAAATAAGGAAGACAAAAATTGCTTAGCAACCACAAAACAATACGAAATAAGAATGTCTTGTCTACGAATTCTATATTATCATTCCAATAACAAATGAAATGAAATATTATATTTATAAAATGCTTACTTAGCAAATAGAATGTAAATAAAATATATAAAAAGAAAAAAAAATGATACGTATATACAGTATTTAAACAAATGTAATTTCGAAAGTTTATTAAATCAACAAATATAATGGTCGTCAAAGAAAAAAAAATTAACCAATATAAAATTCAGAAGAAGAACCATAAAAACAAATTTCTAGTGTTGTCGAGAAAGGCAAAGTCCAAAAAACATTTTCAAATCTTAAACATCATTCGCTATTTTTAAGAGACGAATTGATGCTTCGGTAATTTTTTAAAAAAATCTGTATTTTATTAGATGATGCTACAGTCAACGTTTTAAAAATATCCAATTAGATATCAGTTTCTTTACACTCATTGATTTAGAAAAGGATTCTTTTTTGCAATTTCTACTATGGCTAATACTTCGTATCGTCTTCGTTGTCAATTATATGGACATGAAGCAGATGTACGTTCTGTTTCAACAATAACTGAATATGATGGTATTGTTAGTGGATCAAGAGATAAAACAGCAAGAATTTGGCGTCCATCCGAGTATATTTATTAAAAATTTTCTTTTAAATTTAAGAACTTTTGTTTTTTGTATTTAGTAAAACTTCATATGAACAACGTGTAGTATTGAAAAATCATACAAATTTTGTTATTGCAACATGTTATGTTCCACCTAGTAATGAATTTAATGATGGTCTTATTATAACAGGAGGCAATGATAAAAAAATTTGTGTTTATTCAGCTAAACAAGGAACATATTTATTTACATTAGAAGGACATGAACAAACTGGTAAAAAAACATTTTTTTTTTGTTGTTGATCATATTCATTAAATTTTATTTTTTCTTCTTTTATTAAAAGTTTCAAGTCTTTCTTATGTACCACAAAGTGATCTATTATTAAGTGGATCATGGGATCACACTGGACGTGTTTGGTCTTTATCTCGTAAACAATGTATTCAAATTCTTAGAGGTATTTATGAATATTGAAAAGAAAATTTCATTTTTTTTTCTTTTTAATTTTTTTTAATTTTTTCATACTTAAAGGTCATAGTAAAGCAGTATGGACAATTATTTCTATGGGTGATGTTACAAATAATTCAAATATTATTTTAACTGGTGCTGCTGATAATATTATTATAGGTTGGAAAAATGATACTCAATTTCAAACATATGAAGGTAAAAAAGAATAATAAAAATATTTATGTATTATAAAACAAAAACACGAATTGTTCTTTAATTTCTTTTTAATAAGGTCATACAAGTTGTGTACGATCATTAGCAGCATTAAATTCAAAAGAATTTTTATCATGTTCAAATGATTATACAATTAAACGATGGAATCTTAATTCTACACAATGTTTACAAACATATGAAGGTCATACAAATTTTGTTTATAGTATATCAATAATATCTTCGGAAAAATTTGCATCTGTAAGTGAAGATCGTTCATTACGTTTATGGTCAATTAATACAAGTGAAACAAAACAAACAATTCGATTACCATCAGGAACAGTTTGGAGTGTTTGTTCATTAACAAATCATGATGTAGTTGTTGGATGCAGGTTAATTTAAAAAAATAAAATAAATGAAAAATTTTATTAAAATATAAAAAATTTTATTTTAGTGATGGACGTATAGTTATATTTACTCAAGATCCATCACGTACAACGACAAATGAAGAAATTTCAGCATATGAACAAGAATTAGCTTCAACAACTATTCAAACAAAAACGGGTGATTTAGGAGAAGTTAAAATAGATGATTTACCAAATGAAGATGCATTAAAAAAACCTGGTATACGTGAAGGTCAAACAACAATGATAAATAAAGGTAATGGACATGTTGAAGCATATCAATGGAATATGCTTGATCAACGTTGGATGAAAATTGGTGATGTTGTTGGTTCAGCTGATAGTACAGCACAAGGGCAAGCATCAGCAACAGGTGAAAAAGTAATGTTCGAAGGACAATATTATGATTATGTATTTAATGTTGAACTTGATGATAATGTACCACTTAAACTTCCATATAATATATCAGATGATCCA